AATCTGTTCCGCCAGCTCCATCCCCTACGATCGTTTGACAGGCAGGATGCCAAAGATCGTGGTGCGCGTTAAAGTCGCTAGCACCAAACGGTTTTCACCACGAAGCAGCGCACCTATGTTCGGGTGATATCCTGTTGGGCAACATGTAACTGGGGATGTATATGTTAAATATCTCGAGCTCGACATCGCCTGACCGCACAGCTATACCGTGACATTCAAGGGTAGTGTCCTGCGGTCGATGTCACCATCGATTTAACGATATTGCACGGTGTTGTGCAATATGAAGGCTAGGCTCCACCATTATCTCGCTCGCGATCCCTACGCAAAACGTTGAAACCTGCACAACTCAGAAGATCTGAGCGGCTGTTTAACTTGGTTTCTTGGACCGCAGCTATCGATACACGTTCCCGGCTTATATATGCAACTATCTATCGACAGAAAGTGACACCAGCCAGTGCAAGAATTGCACTTGACTGATGTGTCGTTCCGGCGTATTACGGACTGACACACGGGACAGACTTTGCGAGGAACCAGGAGTTGCTGAGTGGTTCCTGCACGGGATTGGAGCAGGATGAAGGTAGAGGGGAGGTTGGTCAGACTGGGAGTCATGCTGCCTAGAGCTCCTTAGGGCCGTAGAGGTCTTTCTTGGTCACTCAGTTGGGGTGGCGGCGCAGTGCGCGAACCTGGTGCAGATTGCACAGCCGTTGAGGCAGATGTCGCATTATTGCGTTGACAGCATGGGGCCACGTAACTCGTGGTCTACCCCTATGGGTCTAAGGCCTGAGCAGGTCTTAAGATGGCTCCATCCATTGCATGTATTGCACCTAACCGAGGTGGAGTTTGGATGGAGCCTTTTAGCGCATACGCAGCAAAAGAATTCTTCGCTGCAAGGTGTTGCTCAGTGACGACAGCCTTAGACTAACACTTACCGATCCAAATAGGGTTAGATCGCCGAAATAACTGCCCTTGGCCGGATGAAATCGGGTTAATTCCGGTAACGGCTGGCCCCCATCTACGCAAACTGTGTCAGATTAGGCCATGTCCCGAAGGTCTGGAGACAGGTTAAGGTTACTTTCATTCCGAAGGCCGGCAAAACTCACGTCGCTGCAAAGATTTCAGACCCATCAGCCTATCCTCGTTTCTGTTGAAAACATTAGAGAGGCTTATGGATCTGTACACTAGGAGCAGAATACCGAGGGTAAACTGTTACGGGCGCAGCATGCATATATCAAAGGCAGGTCGGTCGACACTGCTTTGCATAATGTAGTGTCATGGCTGGAAATTCTGTGAAGCCGACCCAGTTAGCTTTGTTAAAGTTAATGAAGGTGCAGTTGTCCACAGAAATAAAGTCGGGAGGTTTCTCGATCGAGATAATTATGGGCAGATGGTCTGATGCGAGAGTTAGCATAGGTCGCAGGGTTATGCTATGTATCAGACCACCGCTAGCGATGGTAATATCGGGCGAGCTATTACAGGTGCTCATAATTCTGGGCGGGCTTCGTCATTCATTGTGCAGAATGTCGAATCGTCAATCTGTTCCGCCAGCTCCATCCCCCTACGATCGTTTGACAGGCAGGAATGCCAAAGATCGTGGTGCGCGTTAAAGTCGCTTAGCACCAAACGGTTTTCACCACGAAGCAGCGCACCTATGTTCGGGTGATATCCTGTTGGGCAACATGTAACTGGGGGGATGTATATGTTAAATATCTCGAGCTCGACATCGCCTGACCGCACAGCTATACCGTGACATTCAAGGGTAGTGTCCCTGCGGTCGATGTCACCATCGATTTAACGATATTGCACGGTGTTGTGCAATATGAAGGCTAGGCCTCCACCATTATCTCGCTCGCGATCCCTACGCAAAAACGTTGAAACCTGCACAACTCAGAAGATCTGAGCGGCTGTTTAACTTGGTTTCTTGGACCGCAGCTATCGATACACGTTCCCGGCTTATATATGCAACTATCTATCGACAGAAAGTGACACCAGCCAGTGCAAGAATTGCACTTGACTGATGTGTCGTTCCGGCGTATTACGGACTGACACACGGGACAGACTTTGCGAGGAACCAGGAGTTGCTGAGTGGTTCTCGCACGGGGATTGGAGCAGGATGAAGGTAGAGGGGGAGGTTGGTCAGACTGGGAGTCATGCTGCCTAGAGCTCCTTAGGGCCGTAGAGGTCCTTTCTTGGTCACTCAGTTGGGGTGGCGGCGCAGTGCGCGAACCTGGTGCAGATTGCACAGCCGTTGAGGCAGATGTCGCATTATTGCGTTGACAGCATGGGGCCACGTAACTCGTGGTCTACCCCCTATGGGTCTTAAGGCCTGAGCAGGTCTTAAGATGGCTCCATCCATTGCATGTATTGCACCTAACCGAGGTGGAGTTTGGATGGAGCCTTTTAGCGCATACGCAGCAAAAGAATTCTTCGCTGCAAGGTGTTGCTCTAGTGACGACAGCCTTAGACTAACACTTACCGATCCAAATAGGGTTAGATCGCCGAAATAACTGCCCTTGGCCGGATGAAATCCGGGTTAATTCCGGTAACGGCTGGCCCCCATCTACGCAAACTGTGTCAGATTAGGCCATGTCCCGAAGGTCTGGAGACAGGTTAAGGTTACTTTCATTCCGAAGGCCGGCAAAAACTCACGTCGCTGCAAAAGATTTCAGACCCATCAGCCTATCCTCGTTTCTGTTGAAAACATTAGAGAGGCTTATGGATCTGTACACTAGGAGCAGAATACCGAGGGGTAAACTGTTACGGGCGCAGCATGCATATATCAAAGGCAGGTCGGTCGACACTGCTTTGCATAATGTAGTGTCATGGCTGGAGATAGCTCTCAAGCACAAGGAATTTGCTGTGGGCACCTTTCTCGACATCGAGGGGCCTTCAACAATGTGCGACCAGAGGCCAGCGCGCGTACCGTGCAATCAAAGCTAGTCAAGGAGTGTCTGTCCTCTTTAGAGATATCGTCTGGCTATTTCAACATCAGGCTCGTTTGGGTGCCTGGTCACAGCGGAATCGCTGGAAACTGCAAAGCCGATGAGCTAGCCAGGGGGGCCTTTGCCCCGCTCACATCGGAATGGGATCGGGTTGGATCTCCGTTAGCGTCTTGCGCTCTAGTTTTGGATCAATGGACCTCGCGTGCACTCAGCAGACGCTGGTCGACGCCTTGACTTCTCGCCCTGAGTGCATCTCTCCGCTATGGTAGGAGTTCTCACTGGACACTGTCCAATGGGCACTCATGCGGTACGGCTTAGTGTACTACCCGATGCTAGTTGCCAAAGTTGCATGGAGGAGGGCGAGGTGGAATCATCCCGGCACTTTCTCGTCCAATGTCCGGCTTTCGCTAGGCTGCGATTGAAACATCTCGGCAATCACACTTTTGGCGGACCTGAATACTTATCCGAAATAGATATTGGGCGTCTTAACAAGTTTGTAGTAAGCACAAAGCGTCTCGTAGACTTGTAAGGGTCTTTTGATCCAAATTATAGGAGTTTTGTAGGTATCATAACGGACCGGCGTCTTAAGCTGTCCAAGTGGGATCCTTTCTGGGATCGACCTCCTAACCTAACCTAACCGGTAACGTAGAACCGGCTGTTGTGGGAATTGGCTTAAACACACTCATGATATTTGGTTAGATTTCGACAATTGACACATTGTTCGGCAATTGCAATTACTATAATTTAGACGTTCTCTGCTGTTAATTTGCATAATCTGCTTTCATCTCCGAAAAAAAAATTAACGTCGACTGCCCGAAGCTATAAGACCCTTTACAAATAGAAAAGATTCCATACAAGAACGTGAATTTGATCAGATCTGTTTGAATAGCAGCTAAATGGTATAGCTATATGGTATAACAAAATTTTGTGAAGATACATTGTCAAATAAAAAAATTTTTTAGAGCTTGGCCGGTCAGGTTCCGACAAATGAGCAGCTTCTTGGTGAGAAAAGGACGTGTGCACAATTTCAGATCGATATCTCAAAAACTGAGGGACTAGTTCGCGTATAAATAGACAAGCAGACAAACATGGCTGAATCGACTCGTATCTTCACGCTAATCATTTATATATATCTACTTTGGAAGGTCTCCGACGTTTCCTGTTGGCTGTTACAAACTAAATATACCCTGTTCATTGTATAATACTTTACATCGTATTTTAAATCATCCATTAAATGATAATTAATTCAATTTTATTATATATTTTAGTCAAAAAATGGCAAATGTGTGCGCATATTTCTGACAGTTATTTTAGCTTGTCAAACGATATTACCAGCTGGAAAAACAAATAACGATATCCTCTGCCGAGATGAATTAACTTGTAAAATCACATACTGTTCTGTTGGTAAGTGTCGGAAGGTGTTGAAAAGCGTCATGCAAATACTTTTAATAATATCTTTAATACAGTGAATCCGGGTGGTTGGGCACCTGCATCCGCTTTACGCGCTGTTTACAAGCGCGAATATCCTAAGTTCCTTAAACGCTTCACTGGATACGTGATAGATCAATGTAAGGACAAACCAGTCATGTTTTGATGTTTGTAGAATTTAATTTTTTCTATAAAATATGTAAGAAAATTTTATGTTATAATCGTGTTTTTGCTTAATATTAAGTAATCAACAGGATTTTTCGATTATGGAAAAAAAGTAGCAATGTTTTGTATACTGATAATATATAAAAAAATATATTATTACCTTCTCGATAGCTCAAACGATTTCCATTTGTATCTTTATTTGTAATTTAGTTTTTTTATATATTAAGTAGAAATAAATATAAACAAAAAATCACTGTAATTTTTATATTGTGTGATTGTGTATAAACAACAAAAATTGCATACAAATAACGACTCTTAATAAAAAATAAACCAAAATGAAACAGTATCTTTAATCTAAATACAATCTCATAAAACAATTACTGATTTAAATATTTTAATAATTATCACAAGTTCACCGATTCTGCCAATCTGCAGTATTAGAACTATGCTAAACCGTTTTATTATTACTTTCTTAAATTAACCATGCATTTTTATGAATAACCGGTAAACAACTAAAATATTATGAAATTACACTTTTTAATTTTATAAGTAATTCAATACTAAATAAGCTAAAAAAGATTTGAATTAAATAATAGTTCAATATATGAATGTATGTATTATCCAAACACATATATCCACATATAAACCTTTTTTACTCCACATTTTTATACTCTCGCAACATATTGCTACAGATAGATATGGTTTTATAAACACTTATATATAAATTATACACTTATATAAATTATAAAAAAAACGGTATATAGATGAATTCCGGTTGGCTGTCTGTCCGTCTGTCCGTGCAAACTTCAACTTGAGTAAAAGTTGAGATATGGTGATGAAATTCGGTACACGTGTTCCTTGACACAGTAAGAAGTTTGGAATTATATATTGACGGAATTGGCTCACTGGCACGGCCACAACATGCCGTTATTCAAAAGGCTACAAAAGGTCATAACTAAGCCGTAAATCAAGAGACAAAACTGTAATTTGGTACAGCGAAAAATCGTTTAATCTCTAAGGTCTAGTATTGAAATTCGGAGAGAATATTTTCAAATTAACAGCATGAGCTTGTGTTAAAAATTTGCCAAACGAGTCAATAGCCCCCTTAGCTCCTATATGCCTCATATAATGATTTTCGAGCCGCCGGATGACTGGATACATTATATTTTGGTCACTCTGTGAGGAATCTAAACGAAATTTGGAGAGAGAGTATTTTTCAACATGTTAGTCATCTTAATAAAAATTGGAGAGAATCTCTTTCTCTTAACAGTGTAACCTTGTGACTAAAATGGACTAAAATCAGATCAACACTTCCCCAAGCCTTTATATACCTAATAAGTATTTATAAAAATTTAGAACGTCCGGTTGGCTTTACACCTTTTATATCGGTCAATCTGTGAGGAATCTTAATGAAATTTAGACAGCGGTTGACTTTACACCTAATATATTTGTCAATATGGGCTATATATCGGTGTGATTTTCGTTGTTTAATAATATATAGCGTGGTATCTGGAGTATACTTAGGTAAAGCTTAAGCAATTGGTCCAACATATCCCCCAGCCACAATGTACCCGATATAATAATTGCCGACTTTCCACCTAACTTTGAACTGTGCCATGATACAAGAACTTTTTTGAGAATTTATTATATTATTCAGTCCAGCGTAGGCGTGGGCACGATTTTGCGGTGTGTGCTGGCAAGGTACTGCGATTATGCGTTAAAATAAGCTTATTATCCGGTGGGGAATAACCGACAATTAACCTTTTTTTTATTAGAAAACAGTTTTTCCAATTAAGAACATTAAGATATCGTAAAACGAAACGTAACAGAAAAAAAGCAGGTGGAATATATAAAGACATATACATTTTTGGCGAATTCCGAATCTGTATCCACAATTTATTTATTTATTTATTTCAATAACAAACGTCGATCGGCTATATACATAAATATAGATAAACAATGCTTAACGTAGTAATTGCTGAGACGGTTATAAGTCCGTGTATAAATACATTTAGATAATTAATGCACTATAATAGTGACAAAAATAAAAAAGTAATACATTTTTTTGATGATGAATTATATAAGGAAACATTAGATGATAGTAGTGATATAGTGAATTACATAAGTGAGTTGCGGTTATTTATTCATTAACAATTCGTTGATCTTTGAGTTGAAAGTAGACAGCGAGTCATCTTGGAAGTTGATGTTGGAGCAGTGCTCATTGACTAGGTTGATGATTCTATTTCTAGGCCCATGGTAGACATAGCTTTTAGTTGTTCTGGCTGCGTATAATAGTAAACTGGAATTGTTCAAGATCCTCAGGTGACATTATTAATCCGTTAATTACTTTATATAAGAATGTCAGATCAACAGCTTATCTACGGTTAAGTAAATTGACGATGTTGAATTGCTTGTAAACATCTCCTGTGCTCATCAGCGAACCCCGGGTGTACATGTAAAATGCAATAAATTTACAGAATTTTCTTTAAATTTTTTCCACCTTGTCGACTAGTAGCTGGGTGTAAGGTGATCATATAATGCTGCAGTATTTCAGGATCGGACGAACGAGGGAGTTGAAAAGGTATAGAATTGTATGTACATCGCTGAACCCTCTACCTGTTCTTTGTATAAATCCAAGCGTTTTAAAAGCTTTTGTTGTTGTTTTACTTATATGCTCATACAGTTGAGCTTATTATCGATTATCACACCTAGGTCCTTCACAGGAGAAACCTCTGTTAGGTGGTATATACCAAGGCTGTATGCTGGTAGATGCTGAGTGTTTGAGCGAGAGAGGCTCAATGTAACACTTTTACTTTTATTTAGTTTTAATTTATTTAAATTGCCCCATTGTTAAGTTCATCAATATCACGCTGGAGACTGGCCGTATCTTCGATGCTGTTTATCCTTCATAATATTTTTAGATCGTTTGCATACATAAGATATTCAGAACTGAAATTATCACCAATATCACTAATAAATATAATGAAGAGAATCGGTCTTAGGTGAGAGCCTTGTAGAATACCAGACGTTACTTCATATTCACTTGAGATATAACCGTTTACGCGGACCTGTAGGATTCTACCTGATAGATAAGACCGTATCCAGTCTAAAGCTTTACCTCTAACTCTGTACCAATTTAGTTTATTAATTAACGTCTCGTGGTTTACTGTATCAAAGGCTTTGGAGTAATCAGTGTTGATAGTGTGAGTACTGAGACCATGGTTCATTGCGTCCAGAACGTAGGTAGTATATAAGTAGATATTGGTAGTGGTGGATCGCAGATGAATCCATGTTGCCTAGAAGATATTATATTCCGTAATGCTGTGGTGATCTGGGTTAGAACTATTTTTATACTCTCGCAACCTGTTGCTACAGAGTATAATAGTTTTGTTCACCTAACGGTTGTTTGTATTACCTAAAACTAATCGAGGTAGATATAGGGTTATATATATATAAATGATCAGGATGAAGAGACGAGTTGAAATCCGGGTGACTGTCTGTCCGTCCGTCCGTCCGTCCGTGCAAGCTCTAACGTGAGTAAAAATTGAGATATCTTTATGAAACTTGGTAGACATGTTTCTTGGTACCGTAAGATGGTTGGTATTGCAGATGGGCGTAACCGGACCACTGCCACGCCCACAAATCAAAAACAAATAACTTGCCATAACTAAGCTCCGCAATAAGATACAAGACTGTTATTTGGTACACAGGATCACATTAGGGAGGGGCATCTGCAGTTAAAACTTTTTTAAAAAGTGGGCGTGGTCCCGCCTCTAATAGGTTTAATGTGCATATCTCCTAAACCGCTTATGCTATAATAACAAAATTCACTAGAAGCAAATGTTTTTAGCACTTCTATTGACGGTGTGAAAATAGTTGAAATCGGGTGGCAACTCCGCCCACTCCCCATATAACGGTACTGTTAAAAACTACTAAAAGCGCGATAAATCAAGCACTAAACACGCCAGAGACATTAAATTTTATCTCTGAGATGGTATAAGATGACTTTATAGGAACCGCGTTCAAAATTAGACAGTGGGCGTGGCACAGCCCACTTTTAGGTGAAAACCCATATCTTGAGATCTGCTCAACCGATTTCAACCAAATTCGGTGCATAACGTTCTTCTCATGTTTCTATGTCATAGTGCGAAAATGGGCGAAATCGGACTACAACCACGCTTACTTCCCATGTAACACCATTTTCAATTCCATCTGATTCTTTCACTTTCCACTATGCAAATCAGGTAACAATGATTATATCGGGGTAAAACTTTGCGTGAATAATGCAATTAAAGTATGCCACCTTGCGGCCAAAAATTGTCTAAATCGAACCAAAACTGTTCAAGCCTCTAAGTACTAAATATGTGGGCCCCAGTGCCTATAGTTGACCTTCTACCGAAAATATCAGTCAATCCACAAAGAAATCTCAAACGAGTATACCATTTGACTTTGCGAGAGTATAAAATGTTCGGTTATCTCCGAACTTAGCCCTTCCTTACTTGTTTCAAATAGTTTTAGACAACAACGATTGGTTACAAATGGGCCTGCAGTTGGATACATCACATCTGGATCCGGACTTATGTATTATGTATTAATAAATGAGATTTTCCATGCTGATGGAAACATGTCCGATTCCAATGACGCACTAAATAAATGTGCAATCGGCTCTGCGAGTTCAGCTGCTTAGTTTCTCAAGAACAGATTGGGCGGTTTATCAGGACGGGCTCCTTTTTTAGAATCTAGTTTCCTCAATTGTTTGTACACGTCATAGTATGATACGTTTAATTCAGAAAAATTTACGTCCTGCCTTGAGGTACGACAAGGACTTGTTGAAGTCTGGTTGCTGTTGATGTTCCAGTGAACTGTAGATGGGATGTCAGTGTCACTTTTTCTTCTGTTCTAGTTGAAGCTCCAAAAACTGCTGGCATTATTTTTTATCATATGTTCAGTTTTAGTTAAGTGGACTTTGTAACACTTTTCATTAATGTTTTTACACTTACGCCGAAGTCTGCGAAAAACGTTGTAGTTATAACGAGATTTAGTTTTTTTTTATATCTAGTGTGTGCTGCTTTTGTTTCATTGATTTATAAATTAATTCATTTGAAAACCACGTGGGAAAATTATTAGACTTTTTGTAGCGAGTAGGTACGTATAGCTCGATCCCTTCATTTAATTTGTCA